AGCCTCCTTCGTCGAATCCGCCGGCCGCGCCGTTCTCAAGCCTGCCTCCGCTCACTCTAGCTCACCGTGTGTGACGCTGTGTTTCATTGTAAAAGCGAAACTACTGTTTGGTCTTCCAAAAGAGGACACGACTAGAAATCAGTGGTTAAGTTGTATTTACAACACTGTTCCAGAACAGTTCAACCCAAATATTCAGATGTGTGCAGCACATTTTATGGAGGACTGTTTCTTGATCCTGGTAGAGTAGACTACAATGCCGGCTGTTCTGACTCACAGACTGTAAGTGCGGTTTTTATATATAAAGAACAATTCTTTAAGTGTATTGTGTCCTCGCCTGATATAAAAGACAAAATCTGGTTCTCGAAGTTTCTTCCTGGCGCTTCGTTCTCCTTTAAAGACATTAACCGTGCTGACAAATGTCAGTAAAACAGTGTAAATCTCGTCATGAAAGGTCACATAATGTCTTTGCAGCACCTGATTCATTAGAGGCCCTACAGATCAGGGGCCAGAAAAGAGGCGACACTTGAGAACTGGACGTGTATATTTATTCATATAAGGATCAGACGGCATGTTGCACCTGTGGCGGCACAGTTCACACATACGACATCAGTCCTCCGAGAGTCCAGAAAGAGCACTCGTAGTCCTCTGCAATCCCAGAACACCTTGCTCTCGGCACATTCACAAGTGAAAGGGGAAAAAAAATGTAGACAACAACAACACAAGTTTTCTCAGAGCATAACGCACAGGAGAACAGTGTAGACAGATTTGCATTTTAATACAAAGGCATATATTTTCTTTAGAACATAAAATATTAACTGCACAGCAGTAAGTAAAGGTCGTGTACAGATTGTTTGTTCATACACACCATTGAAACACAATTTCGGGTCAGTACAATTGTGCTAATCAATAATTCGTTTTGCATAAAGACCAAACGTAATGGCAGCTGTCCAGAGGGAACGTTTTGACATTCTCCTCCACACATTTATTCAGCTCGAGCATTTTTCCCAATGCGGTAAAACTCCTAAAAAGCACACACACACTCACAACAAACACCCAAAAGATGCTTTTGCTCTATACATACAGCATGTTCAAATATATTGGCATATTCTGGCTACAGCACACCTCTGAATACTGCACTTGCTGATGTCTAACACCACACTTCACGTACGCCACGACCTCTGACCTCTACACGCCCCACGACTACCGAAACCCCACCCACCCCGACGTCTTCAACACCATACCATCCCGCTTAAACACTTTTTAAGGCACGTTTTGGCTACAGAAAGGCGTTAAAAGAAGCGGTTTACACTCGACTACGGAGACTTGCATCTGTGCTTGTGCTGCTTTAAAGCGACAGTTCATCCTAAAAATGAAAATTATTTACTCACCGTCATGTCGTTCCAAACCTGCAGACTTTTATTTTTTCCAGTGGAACACAAACATATAATTTTTTAAAAATTGTTTATGTCATTTTTGTCTTTTTATGGCAGGAAACGTGAAGATTCTTCAGAAAATTATTTTTTTAGGGCTGGGCATTGACACAAATTTCACAATTCGATTCAGTTCTGATCTAAATTCGATTTTGATTAATTTTGATTAATTTTGATATTTATGCGTGTGTGTGTGTGTGTGTCAGTATGTCAGCTTTTCTCAGTGAAATATTTTATTTCTACTAACGCTGTAGGGAAACCTGTCAGTTGGTTCATTACTATAATATTTAAGGTTTAAATAGTTTAAAGGTAAAAACTGACAACTGATTTGTATGCAAACATTTCAATTGCACATCAGGCAGTTTTTATGGTAATTACATAACTATCTTTCTATTCCAATTAGTTTTTGAAATATAAACATTTAAATGCTGGCTGCCATAAAAACTTATTTTCATGACTGATTTAGTTCAAACGTACATTAAATAATGAAGAACATGTCAAGTAAAAATAATATAGCGTATATATATATATTTAGCAAAATGTTCCTCTCTAGAGTTTTATTGTCTACCTAACTGTCAAGTTTATAAACATTGAATGGCTTTCCTGAGGTTAATGTACATTATGTGACATTTAGTTTTATTGACGTCTGTCTGCGGTTAAAACGCTGATTGAGACACATGATACATTTCAGTAAGTTGTACTGTATCTTTCAACATACCCTCTGATGTTCGTTCATTTATTTCGTCCTATAACTTTAATTCTGTCAGGACCACTATCGTCAAAGATGATTGACAATTAGCATACAGTTTGGATTTGCGGTATGGTTCAAGTTCTGGGCAAGAACTCCCTGCGCCTCCATGCAGCCTAGCATAGATGAGAGCAGGGAGAGCAGCGATAACCCCCCAGAGTAAACAGAACAGAACCAACATAAATGTATTGCAGATATCGTTAAAGTTCAATAATTTTATGTACACATTTTAGAATTAATCTGATTCAAAGGAGAATCAGAAGCTGAATCCTGACTGACAGAGGAGGAGCTGGGGATGGAGGAGGCTATTAGCTATTGAGCAATGTGAAAACTGCTGATACTACAGCGGGACCTTATATATGAATGCTTAGATAGGTGTCGTATTCCCATAGGTTGATGGGGATCAGCTGAGAGTCAGCTGATGCGAGCTTGACTAACGGGACCTGCCAGAACTAACGCTACGCTTGATTTAAAGTGCAACCTATGACTCTGAGGCTATGGTTTGAACTGAGGCGCTATAGCGATCTGTCACTCCACATTTAAGAGCACCAAAACAGTATTTATTGATTGAATTCTGTAATAAAATAGACAGAATTTGAAAGCTAAGACTTTATTTCTTATCAAATGTAACAAAGCACTACGCTTACTGCGATTTACTGGATAGGATGCGCACTCGATAGGAACGACATGAGGGTGAGTTAATGATGATCACACGTTTATTTTTGAGTGAACAATCCCTCTAAAATCAAAGAGTAATTGGCAAGAGTAGACCCGAAAGCATGGAGTCAGAATCACACATGCAGTTACAATCATCAAACGCAGCTCCCGCTGCGTGTGTTAAAGCAGACGGGAAGAGAGAGGGAAGGCCGGCCCATGCCAAAGCGCTTCACGCCTAGCAGCTCTGCCCAACTCTCTGACAGAAACAGAAACGGAGAGATCTGACATCGCATGCCATCTGCTACCACAAAACCGCTGCTCTCAGATCAGTAACAGGCAGCGAGATCAGACTATTTCCATAGAGAAGGCCGTGAAACTCCCTGACCCGCTACAAAACTTGAGTTCAGTGGGCCACATTAACAGTAAACCTGTTTAAAGACCCTGTGAAAGTAAAACTGGAGTTTTGTATGTCATGTCTGTTAGCTTTAAGGCTAACATTTATATGCTAATGTACCTTTAAATGCTGACAAAATACATGTGTTTAAATGTCAGGGACTATGTTTTCTGTCAGAAGGATGAAAAGTATGTAATATTTTGTAGAAACGGTTTAATGAAATCAATCGTGGCCATGCTTTGTAACTCCAAACAAAACCCTTTAGCCTTGACTATATTCTAGTACCTTATTGCTTGGTTTTATCATATACACAACCGTTCAAAGGTTTGGGGTGAGCAGGCTAAGATTTTTTTCTTCAAAGAAATTAATACTTTTATTCAGCAAGGATGCATTCAATTGATCAAAAGTGACAGTAAAGACTTTACAAAATATGTTTCAAATAAATGCTGTTCTTGTGAACTTCAAGTTTAGCAAAAAAAAAAAAAAAAAGTATCACACTTTCCACAAAAACATGAAACAGCACAACCGTTTTGAACATTAATATTAATAATAAGAAATGTTTCTCGAGCAGCAAATCATATTAGAATGATTTCTGAAGGATCATGTGACACTGAAGACAGGAGTAATGCTGCTTTATTCCTGTGTCACAGGAATAAATCACATTTTAAAATATATTCAAATAGAAAAAAGGTTATTTTAAATTGGAATATTATATCACAATATTTCAGTTATTATGCAGTCTTAGTGAGCTTAAGAAACTTACCAACCCCAAACGTTTGAATGGCAGTGTATATGCATGAATTGTCTATTCTGCACAATGCTCTCTAGAATGAGACTGTCCCTCACCTGCTACATCTAGCACTATCAATTTGATTTTTTCTTTCAGCCTGTAACGCCAAACAAAAAGCTTCAAATCTTTTCTTGATGTCTTTAAGATGACATGCAAATGTTACATGTAAAAAGCTGTAAAAAAAAAGTTTTGTCCAAAGATAAAAGCGTCTCTGGGAGCAGAATTTTGGCTGAGTGCTATCGTACCATCTTGTTTAGTGGCAAATAACAAACAAATTAGTGTGTCATTATCCTCCCTGCCAAAATAAAGCCATTAATGATCCAGATCACACATCGAAACCCTTTCCAATAGAGCCGCAAACAGTCGGATGAGAAGTTTTCAGTCAACCATCTCAGGCCAGAAACACAGTCTATGCAAGCTGAAATTGAAAACATCTATACTCTTGCATACAGCCTGTTTCAGGCATTGTTTCAGAAACGGCCAAAAATCTGTCCTGTACATCGACTGTTTGTGCTTTATGTAATAAATTCAGTCAGTAGCAAAGTTCTCACAATAAAACAATTTTCTGAAGTAAACTGAAATAAAGGCTTTGCACAGGTAAAAAAAGAAATGCCTCATGACAACTTATTATTGCCTGTGTTGATTATTTGTGGATCTACTAGCGAGTCCATATGGCTGAACAGAAACAGTTGGTTATGAAATGGACGGCCATTTGATCGTCTAAACGGATATGTTTGGAATAACATACTAGCATACTGCAGTGCAGCACACACTATTTTGTGTAGAAATGTCTCAACTTTTGGCTCAAATAATAAGTTAAAAAGGAGATGTTAATAATTATAGCTGATATTAGATCACGCTGAAAATAGAAGGTCAGGATGAGTGCATTGCATTGTGGGATCTAGTATTTTATGCAGTATACTCGTGGTAAGGTGTGGTCACATTAGCGAAATTTCAGCACGGATCTGACCGTGAAAACGTACCGAACAGTGGTAAATGTGACTGCAGCTTTATGCTGCATGTTTTGGCAAATGTTACAGATACAGAAAATTCGCACACCCTGCACATACAGTACATACTGCAGAAATAGTATGGGTAATATGCTAGTATGCTGTTCCGAACACATCCCATGCAAATCCTGTTGTCACCTTCAGCTGCTTTTGATTGGACGAGACCAGATGTGACCTCACCGTAGGCACACCCCCTGCTCACACACACTGCAGGGTCATAGGCAGCTCCCTTTTGGTCAAAATATAGGCATCCTTTTACACACACACACACACACACACACAGAAGCTTTAAAAACAACTGATACAAGGCCGTCTATTTAAAAAGTTATTTTCCTCTTATAAAGCTTTCTGCATAAAGACTGCACATTAAAAAAAATATAGAATACGATTCTTAAAACCTTTTGTCTCTACACAGGAAGAAATTGAACATCTGATTATAGTGATGAGCTAAATACACACTGAGAGCGTTCGTTCGGACAGGGTTAGAGGTCAGTCACTTTGTTCTCCAGCGCTGCGGCGATCTGCTGCAGTCTCAGTGTTAACTGTTTACTCTGGGCAGCAGGATCTTCATCCAGAGACATGATGATCTACAGAAACAGACAACGAACATGAGCCTTCACTACACACACAATCTATCTATCTATCTATCTATCTATCTATCTATCTATCTATCTATCTATCTATCTATCTATCTATCTATCTATCTATCCATCCATCCATCTAATAGTCTGTCTGTCTGTCTATTTGATGTTTCCCCCCCTCCATTTTCAATCATCTTTTAGCTGTTTATTTAAATAGTCCTGCTGTGTGACAAATAAATTTTTCCCCTGTATAGTCTCTTAATTAATGTAAAACGACTAGCATATTAATTATACAAAAAAACCCCCACAAAAAAACAACGTAAAGCTTAAGTTCAAAATACTTGTATATGTCACTGCTGTCAGTTCTTCATGTCAGTTACCCATGTGTGTGTGTGTGTGTGCACTCACCCCATCGTAGTATTTGCTGGCGTACCGGTAGAGCTGATGAAGAGCCACTTGTGTGTTCAGTTTATCTGTGTGTTCCTGAAAAACAAACATAAATCAACACCAGTCTGTTCATTTTCCCTAAAACTCACAGAAAGCCCATCACACACTCACCCGTGACACTTCAGCCAGATGTGTGTTCATTTCCTGGTCACTGACTGACACTATCTGCCGGATTCCTTTATAGTACCTGTGGAGAAACACAACAGACGTCTGATCCAAACTGCAGCTAAAAACACCTACTCTAAACAGGGCTGGTTGCTTTACATATCAGTCTGAAGGTCTCTACCTGCCTCTTAAATTGCATTTAAATCTAAAAAAAAACAAAAAAACAGCACAATATACTGTTGTGTATCTAAATATAACTTATTTACTTACTAAAGTGTCTCAAACACAAAGATAATCAAGAATAACTTTAAAAGATTTGATGCCTTTAAACTTTAGCAGACTAGTTCTACCTCAGAATTGCTCAATGTATCCGCCTGGGAACATAAACACAACTTGGTTTCCCAGAGGGCTGATAAAAACCTGTCGCTCTGACTCCCAGATATTGCATAAACCCAGTCAATCAGATCATGCTGAGAAAGTTCTCTGCATTTCTGTGCACAACATGCATCAGACAGTCTGTAAACCATCTGTGGGCATTCGGCTGGAGGCTGAGACTGCGCAATACTGGAGCACTTACTCGTCTACCATCCTTTTGTAGGTGGAGATCTCCTTTGCATAGAGTAATTTGTTGCTGGGAGAATCCTGCAGGCAACAGAGAGAGAGAGAGAGAGAGAGAGAGAGAGAGAGAGAGAGAGAGAGAGAGAGAGAGAGAGAGAGAAT